ATTATTATTATTATTATTATTATTGTTCTTATTATTTATGAAATATCATCACCATTATAAATATTAGTATTATTATAATATTAATATAATGATATTATACTTCCTAAATGTGGTTTTACATTTAGATGAGCCAAACAGGGGATTTCTTATATACCAGGTTAATCCAGAAGTTACCCAAATGATATTGCTCTTAAAACCATCCTTTACAAATCTGGAATTTGTATAACCAGGAATTGATGTATAACCAAGTTTTGCAAATACTGGCCCCAAACGATCCGCCAAAGTAAATTTCATTAAATGAATTAAAATGAATGCCCAAAAAAATGATTGTAAGATAAATTTTAATATAGTTAATTTTAAGGTTTGGAATCTACATTTCGAGATTCATGTTTTTGGTAGTTGAGGCTACCAACCATTTAAATTTTAGATTCAAAATCCATCTCTAATTTGGACTTTTGGAAGGAGACTGGAATTGAATAGGTGCATTGACTACGCACTATAGCCGGGGGTACGATTTATGTGCATTTGGGGACGCATCTATTATAGTGATTGCGCCCTCAAAATCTATACTGGAGATGGGTTTTGGGTCTAAAATTTTATGTTTGCATCAAGACACTACAATCATGAACTTGGAATTTATTTTTTTTTAGCAATGGCAGTTATTATTTTGTACTTGTTTTGGTTTGTTTATATTAATTCTTCAAATATCATTAGATTTGCATTGTTTTTTGAGCTTCAAATTTATGCATTTGAGATGGAAATAGATTAAGTGATTTAGGATGACTTTTAGATCCTAAATCCCTTTGAAAACCATAAAACACATGAGTCGGTCAGTTCACCGAATACTTATCCTTTTAGGCAAAGGTCTTTTAATCTATATGAAAATAAAATCACTATCAATACAAAGATATCGTTTACCTTTTATACATAGAGGTCACAATCATTGTTGTCCCTTAAATTTCAAAATGGGTGGTTGTAAGAGTGTCATTGAATAGACATAAAGTTTCAAAAAAATTTATTGGACCTTGTGACTCATTCCAAACCATCTAATTTGACATTTAATGAGTGAGAATGATTGTGACTTTTATGTACAAAATATAAATGACCTCTTTTTAAACAATTCCATTAAAATCTATGATCATTAGTGTTAATTGTCATAAAATCAATATATGGAAGTGATGTGAAGAGATAGGGTAGGGGCTATTAATCGTGTGATCCCACCCTCTCTCCTTCAATATCCGTTCATTTAAGAGCAATGACTCTTTTGATCATACATGTGGTCATATGGATCATATTACATTCTTCAAAGTGAATATAGTTCGCTAAGATTAAAAGGGAAAAAATCGCATGTGGAAGATGAATGATACTAATCACCAATTAAACTTAGGTGGGATTGAGAAAATGTAATGAAGTCTAAAGAGTAACATAGAGACCCTCAATAAAGCTCAATGTGTGCATATCATGTGGATGGTGTATGGGTGCACAAGCATCCTTCTAACTGTTCAGATTGGCCTCATCAAACGGCCACAAAAATTTTTATTTCTTACTTTTATTTAAAAATCATTTTTATTGGAAAATTGGGATGTAAATGAATTTTTATATAGCCCACCAAATAAAAATAATACAAAAATATTTATCAGAATAACCTTCAATTGTTTCAAGATATTCTAGTCGATTTTTTGTTCAAAATATATTGTTATTATTTTATTTGATGCAATATATAAAAATACAACCGTTTCCCAAATTTTAGATAAATATGATTTCAAATAGTAAAAATAAAATAAAAATAGTTTTTGGACATCATACTAGACTAAGTTTTTAATATGAACCATTAAAGGGTGATTGTGCGTCCTTCAAGCATCCTAAGTGTCCCATATTACTTCTCTATTGCAACTTTGCATACAAATCCTAGCTAGTGCAATGAAAAAAATAAATAAATAAAGTAAAAGTAATAAGCTCTTTATAGGTAGGCAAATTAATGACACACTTCGTAACAAGTCATAGTAATAAATCAGAAGTTAGTTAAACTACATTTGTAGTTCGTTATTAGTTTTTACTTCGATACGGTGAATTTTGGAACTTATCTTTGTTGAGAGTAGCATTAAGACAAGAAAAAAAGCATACAATTGAGCAAAATTTTCAGGGCAATGTATTAAATTTTGCCATAAATTAGGGTAAATTTTCGCCAAATATTACTTTTCTTTTGTAGTTAATTTTTTAAAAACCAAACACAATATAGATCCTAAATACTCTTCAATGACCAAAAATTTGAATACATTTGGTTCTTCTATGAATTGACCATGGACCCGGAATTTGGCCCTCTACCACTCTTTTTATAAATGAAGCTAACAATTTTGAAAATCGAGTAATCCCCTCTAACTTTAAAAGTTTAATGTCCAGCTTATTACAAGAAAATAAAAAGAATGCTCACCTAGTTGTTCAAGCTAATAGTTTTAGAAGTTGTAGGTTCAGATTGAGAATCACTAAACAGAGTTTAGAGGGTTATTTACTTTTTTGGCTCCCTGTCGATATCGGAAATTGGTCCTAATCACTTTGAAACACCATGTTCCCATGTTTATTACTTTGTTTATTAATATCTAATTCATCAAAGAAACATAGAAAACATAGATTTATGCAATACTTTTGCTCTTTTTTTTTTTCCTTTTTGGATGTGGTTTTTCTTTTTTGTTTTTCGGGGGGGGGCAGATCCATACATAATAATCTCCAGGTCTTGAAACATTATTCAATCCATACATAATAATCTCCCGGTCTTGAAACATTATTCGAATCTCATATCATTAGAAAAGGTGTTCAAGTTTATCATAAAAACTTATAGCACTAATCAAAATTAAGCATTGAGGAAGATCATGTAGGTGTTATTTCCATTGGGCCCTAAGAATGCTAACACCCTTCATGAGAAAAAATGTGATTATAGGCTTAGGGAAAAGACCGATAAACCAATGTGCTTTTCTTAGCTACAATGCAAATCAACCTTCAAAGTGTACAGTTAGAATGGGAATTTTTTGGTGTAAAATTTTATATATTTTTTATTCAAAAATAAATAAAATTTAAAATTTCATCTTGAGTTCTTAAAGCCTAAATTTAATGTCCACCAAATAAATGGTTTGCATT